ACAGCAGTAGGAAGGGCCTCATAAAACAGCAGGTAAGTGGAAAAACATATAAAACACACAACAGGTGTTATTTAATATTTAAGTTCTGTTTATTTGACAGGTATGCAAATCAGACAACCTTTGATGGAGCTGATAACTAAATAAAAAAAGCACAAGAGAAGAAAGGAAAGTATGAGATGCCCAGCGGCCCCCTAGTGTGTGTGTGTGTGTGTGTGTGTTTTACATGGAGGTGTATTAGGTCTGTAGCTGCTGCAGTAGCCAAGGCAACATAAACAAGGTCAATGCTTGTCAAATGGGAGCGCTCATAATAATAGCTTTGGGGGGGTCTTAATATGGAACAATAAACTGTTTGTGGGCAATTGGTTACGAACTCAGCATCGAGCAAATGAAATGTAAAAGTACAAGTGGTGAGCAGAAATCTAAAATGTAATAACTGAGGTCAGCGTTGGAAGAGCTGCAGGTTTTTGTGATAATTCGATTTGTAAAAAAATGAACATATACATTTTGATGATGAAGATGATCTGCTAAACGAATGGCTCTGGTTATGCAGGCTTCATGACATTTCATTAGTTTAGTCTAGAAATCATCTTTATGGAAAACTGGTTTTATTCTGAGATTAATCAGTCAACTCCTCAAATAGAAAACACAATGAACTCCTAATAAAATGCACCATGATTCATCTAAAAGCACTCTGAGTCACGTGGTTCTCCAATCAAGAACAAATTAAACATTTAAATTCAAAGGACATTTGAGTCAGATGAGCTCAGTTAATACATTTGAGGATGTTAGACTATTTATGTTCTTTTGATAACATGTCTGTGAATAGTTTTTGTGATTGCTTCTTGTACTTTTTTTTGGTACCTGTGTTCTCTACATATACAAGCGCTGATCATAAAATTGGAGTATCACCATAAAGTTATTTCAGTAATTCCATTCAAAAAGTGAAACTTGTACATTGGACAAAATCATTACACAGAGACTGATATATTTCAAATGTTTATTCCTTTAAGTTTGATGATTACTGACAACTTATGAAAATCCCAAATTCAGTATCTCCGAATATTAGAATATAGTGAAAAGGTTCAATGTTGAAGACTCCTTGTGCAACACTCTAATACGCTAATTATCTCAACACCTTCAAAAGCTTTAAAATCATGGGGAAGACTGCTGACTTGACAGTTGTCCAAAAGGCGACCTTTGACACGTTGCACAAGGAGGCCAAGACACAAAAGGTCATTGCTAAAGAGGCTGGCTGTTCACAGAGCTGTTTCCAAGCACATTAATAGAGGCAAAGGGATGGACAAGATGTGGTAGAAAAAAAGTGTACAAGTAACAAGGATAACCCCACCCTGGAGACGGTTGTGAAACAAAAGCCATTCAGAAATGTGGGGGGGGGATTCACAAAGAGTGGACTGCAGCTAGAGTCAGTGCTTCACGAACCACCACACACAGACGTATGCAAGACAGGTTTCAGCTGTCGCATTACTTGTGTCAAGCCACTCTTGAACAAGAGATGGCATCAGAAGCGTCTCACCTGGGCTAAAGACAAAAAGGACTGGACTGCTGCTCAGTGGTCCAACGTTTTCAAGGTCCCAGAGTCTGGAGGAAGAGAGGAGAGGCACAGAAAATTCTTTTTTTTTTTGGTGATGGGGGTGGGGGCACGTCAAAAGTCTGATGCTGAAAAGCCAGCGTTTCCTGTGTGCATCACCACTGTGAAGGCAGACAAATGGGCTCTCCTGCTACCTCAGCAGCCACCATACACACAAGACAGCAAACTGTCCATCTTTTTAAACAACCAGCTTCACAAGACAGAATGAGATATTCAAAACTGTGTGCACAACTTAGAGCAAAAATAATGAAAATTAAAGCTGCAAGCTGTGTCGTTCGGCCCTTGCAGCTCAGCGCCGCTCCTCCTGGCCGGCAGCCCGGTGCACCCGGGCACGTCCGCGGAAAAGAGACGTTGACCACCCCGACACCAGAAACCGTGCATGCGTGGGTTTCCTCCGGGTACTCCGGTTTCCCCCACATATCACAACATGCCCTATAGGTTATAAATTGTAAGTCGCTTTGGATAAAAGTGTCTGCCAAATAAATAAACATAAACATGTATAACTTATTGTTTTATACAGGTAAAAACGTGTAGTGGAGATAAATCTACCTACATTTTACTTTTCAACACTTTGTTTTGTTTTCTTGTTTTTATTTAACTATTTTCCTATCCTGTCTCCTGTCTGCAGTAGCAGAGCGCTTCAGGCACAAATAAGACGGAAAATAGAGAACATGTGTGGACAAGAACGATCGTGTGCTAATTATAGATTTTTGGTTGCGCCACTTTGAGAATGGACCGTGTGCTGGAAGCAGCTGATTGGAGCGCTGCGCAACAACGCAGCGCTGTGCCGCTCTCTGTGCTCTCTGCTCAAAAGAGTCCATAAATTATGTAATATAGGTAGAAAACCTTTTTCCGGCTTCCCTGGATGTGCAGGATATACAGCTCCCCCATAATTCGATCCCTGCTCCTGGATGAAAAGCCGGACATTTTCATCAATACAAGAACCCCCAGTCCGGACAGAGTGAAAAGTGGACATGTCCGGGGAAAACCGGACGTAAGGTCACCCTAGTTTAATATAAAGCGGGAGATTACAGATAGGCCTACAATATTTTGCTCGTGCCCTTGCTGCCCTGGGCCCTTTAGAGTTTGCGGGCCCAGTTGCCCATATGGTTAATCCGGCCTTGAATGTGCTCACTCGTTCAAATCACTTTAACTCCGCCCACTTACAGCCTTTTGGCTCTAGATGACCCATGCAACGTTTGATTGATGCCAAATTAACAGAAAACTGCATTTGATGACCAAAGATGACCTCTATGGGATTTAGTTGTAAATGGTCACAGCGCCCCCTAGATGGGTTCAAACTTTATTACAGAATGGCGTTATACTTGGCTTTTGTCATCACGTGACATGTTGACTAAATTAGAGGGGACAATTATGGGCATTTCACCATAAAACATTAGACTTCCTGTTGTCAGGGGCGGGGCTTAGGTGATGTCAGCTGTCCACATTGTTCTTGTCTTGAGATGTGGCCAGTGATCACACAGACAAAGTTTGATATAGATATGATCATGCACATGGGTTTATTACGTCAAGTAATGTAATGAAGAAAGGTCAAAGTTTGAGGCTTAGCCACACCCACATCTTTCAAGTTATTTAAAATCCGATGGTTGAATTTTTCCCCCTGTCTTAAAGGTATATAACAGAGGTTTGAAAGCGATTGGTGAAAAGGGCGACAGGGCATCACTCTCCAAACGACGTGTGCGAAAACCACTAAATCGAGTACTTGGACCAAAATGGCCGACCTCCTGTGCGACTTTGCACTTGGCTCCAAGAGACTTTTTTTGTAGGTCCAGAGACACATTAGTGTACCAAATTTCGTAATCCTCGGTCAAAGCATGGCTCGAGGCTGACAGTTTTAATGGTCCTAGGGGGCGCTATTACAGAAAATAGGCCACGCCCACCAAATTTTCACATCAGATTTTTTGGGGGGCCAGACTAGGATCACTCACCAGAAGTTTCGTGGCAATGTCTTCAGAAATGACGAAATGGGAGGCAAACGCATGGCCAAGGCGGTACGCCTGACTTCGCCGCGCCGCCACAGCCCCGCCCTCTTTTGAAATTTCCAATAAAGTGACACCAAAAAACCCCCACTTGTCTTGAGTTACCAGCTACAAATTTGTGGTGATTAGGTGAAATGGGGCGATTTAGGACCTATCACTAAAACTTGACCTTTTTGGTCCTGAGGGGGCGGGGCTTATGTGATCCGACCATTCAGTTTAGTTTGTGGCTGGATGCCAAATGACCACAGAAATTTTTGTAACTCTACTCTATTCGAGTTTGAAGTTATAGCTATTTATATTTTTTGGGTGAGTAGTCGAAATTCGAGGCCTGGCCACGCCCCCTCAGCATATAAGAAAAGTCAGTTTTATTTTTTCTATTTGATCGCCCATCCCTTCTGAGCAATTTCCCACAACTTTCGAGACGATTGTGCAAAAAATGATCGAGTAAATCAATCAGAACCGGACCCTAGAAACGGCCAAAATGGGGTCAAAATCACCACTTCAAACCAAAATGGCCGACTTCCTGCTTGATGTTGACCATGGTTGTAAGAGGCTTTTCTGTGCAGACTGTTGAGTACTACAAGTGTACAAAATTTCATAACTATACAGCAAAGGTTTATGGAGGGGGGTATTTTTTACATTCTAGGGGGCGCTGTGGAGCTAGTTTTATTGCGATTTATTTGGGGACCTTTAAAATACAAAATTTTACACCACGTCTGACAAGTGTGCAAAAATTCCTGAGTTTTTGGGTATGTTAAGGCCTCCAAAAAGCCAATTTACTTGTTGGAAGAAATATAAACAGAGCAGATACAATAGGCCTTCGCAGCACTTTCGCTTCTCGGGCCTAAAAAGCAAGATTTATGTCTACGAAGTGGCTCTGAACCAGGCACCTAATCAAGCACACTGACCTTCCTTCCAGAATAATCAAATATTCATTGCTGCTGAATAAATTAGAGAATGCACACCCGTCTACATTGCTTCTTTAGCAGAAATAATCAGGTTCTCTTGGAAGCATGGCAAGCCCTCCATTTTAGCTGATGTGGTGGGAGTTTAAAGCTTATCTCCCTTCTCCATAGGCACCTTCTCTGTCCCCGTCTTTCATTAGGAACACACAGAAGTGGAGGGAAGACGAGACGGAGGAGATTCCACATCTCATTTTTAACTACAGATGAGTTTCCGAGCTCTGAATTTCTCCTTCAGTTAATCAGACGGAGCTGACTGATGAGTGCTTTCACAGGGAGACGCACACAGAAACTCAGCAAAAGTGGACGTATGGTGTGCTTCATTAGTAAAGTGGGTGTGAGGTTCCTGCTGCTTTCTGCGTGTGCTGACAGCTTGATCACACGATGTAACCAAAGACACAACCAGGACGCAATGAGGAGAGGACGTGGTTCTTCTACTCATGTTTATTAAAAGAAAGAAATCCCATACTTTTAGTTTATCATGAAAATAATTAAAGACATTTTTTTAACCATTTTCTGAGCCATTTCTTATACAAACAGGTACAAAGAGGTAAAAATAAAAAAGCTAGTGATGATGAAGCAACAGGAGACAGATGCTTGGCTACTTCAGCTAACTCTGATTATCCTGGAGACATTCAGCTGGACACTCACAGCTCCGATTATGCACCAACGTTTCCAGCTGGCTGCTTCTGATTTCCTGTGCTATTCCCTGCGGTGGCCTTCCCACCAGCATGTTGTTCTTTGTTGAACAGCTCTCGGGCTCCATAGTCATCACTTGCACCGTGTACCCATGAGCCTCTGCTGCCCACGATCGATCCAAGTCTACCAGGCCCATGCAATGTTTACCTGCAGTCAAGGAAAACACGACAAGGACAATTTACTTAAAAACTGTAAACACATTTATATTATATTTATTTTGCAAATGCTTTTATCTAAATCTTTTTGATCTGTGGGAGGAAACTGTCATATCTGAAGAAAGCCAACACTTGCATGAGAACATGCTAACTCCACGCAGAAAGATCTGCACCCTTCAAAACAGCCACAACTGCACCACCAGAGCCCCGCAGAGCTATTTCTCACTTAGGCTTTTTATATAAGAAAGAGAAGAAATGAGACTCTGAACATGGGCAAAGATGATCAGATTTAGTGATTTATCTTTATAAGCAGTGAGAACTATTTCACATTTTAAAGGCCAGTAACAACATTAATTTATTTAAAAAAACATTTTGTGATAAGATTATTATTTCTATATAATATAAAGAACAGCCAAACACCACTGTAAGCAATCAACTGGCTGAATCTGACCTTGTTTCATCACTATGGTAACACAAGTTGATCTCACAACGTGCCTGTGATATTTTTTACAGTTTCAGATTAAATCGACTCCTTTAATTCATCTTTTCCAGATGAAAAAAATATGCTAGTTTTATACACAATATTTAAAAGCAGCGTATTGAATTTTAAGAGACTTTACATGGAAACGTTCACTGTTTTTTTTGCATGTTTCATTTCCAACTCCGACAGCTAGGTGGCAGCAGATGTTACCGATTTCATTCCAACAAAACAATTCAATTCAATTCAAAAATACTTTATTAATCCCAGAGGGAAATGGATTGCTGTAGTAGCTCAAAATAATAATAATAATCAAGTCATCAAAGAGTTATTGTATATTACAATGGCTGTTCAATGGCTGTTGGCAGGAAGGATCTCCAGTAGCGGTCAGTGTTGCAGCGAAACTGAAGAAGCCTCTGACTGAAGACACTCTTCCATTGTTGGACAGTCTTGTGAAGAGAATGCGCAGGTCTCTGGCACTCCGGCCATGCATGTGCAGTGAGCAGCCTCAACCCTCCCATTGGAGCTCACAATGACCCATGGCTGTAATGCAGTTTCATTCAGTCGTTGTGAGTGCAGGACCTTAAACACACAAAAATCACTTTTAATATTAAGTCTGTAATTAACTAAGGCTAATATAGATGGGTTGGCTGTACATGCAAATCAAAAACTGCAACAAGGAAGTTGTTTAGAAAGTAATCATGTTCAGAGCGACTTACCTTTGTCTTAATGACAACATACTCGCAGCGTGGAGGCTTAAAGATGGACAAATCTTGCACCCCGATGTTCGTGAATTGGATGTGGGCCTCCAGGGATTTATAATTCTTAAACTGCTTCGCTGTGTATGCGCTTACTCCACAGACAAGGTATGCGAAGATATCGGGATAGGACAAAGGCGGAAGATCGTCTGAGTTACCACTTCACTTCGTTATTTCATATGGGTCCACATTACCGAAGCAAGCATTTTTTTTTCAAAGTACCTTCTCTTGGCGTCTGGGCACAATCGGTCGTGATACAGCCCTTTTCCTTTTGTGCTGATTTTGAGCATGATTCTATCACTCCCGATTCCAACACTCCAACACTGTGTGCTTGTTTAGCTCTCTGGCCAACTGTCATGGCGCCACGATCCCACAATGCACTGCGTCGTGACGTCAACTCCAAAGCCCTATTCCATGTCTCCCTCCTTGAAGGCTCTTTTTTTCTCATTTAGCAGATTCTTCAGTTCACTGGTGATCCAGGGTTTGTTATTAGCGAAGCAACTCACTGTTCTGGTGGGTATGATGTTGTCCACACAGGAGTTTATATAGTCAGTGACACATCCAGTCATGGCATTGATGCACTCTTCATATCCTTGGCAGACAGTCATCCAATCTGTGGTCTCAAAACAACCCTGCAGGGCCTCTTCAGCATCCTGGGACCATTTTCTCACAGTTCTTCTTGTCACAGGTTGCCTCTGAACAAGTGGTTTGTATTCTGAGCAGAGAAAAACAAGATTGTGATCTGACTGTCCTAGAGGAGGTCTTGTTTTGGACATGCAGGCATTCTTTACATTTGCATAACACAAATCCAATGTCCTTTTTTCTCTGGTGGAGCAGCTTGACAAACTGTTGAAATGCTGGAAGTGGAGCAGAGAGCGAGGCATGATTCACCAGATATAGCCACAAATGCATTGGGGTGCTGGGTTTGTAGCTTAGCGACAACGGAACTGAGGGCATCACATGCACTTTCAGCAATGGCTGAAGGTGGAATATAAACGGTTGCCAAGACAACACTGGTGAACTCTCTTGGCAAATAATATGGGCAACAACTTACTGCCAAGAGTTCAACATCTGGGCTGCAGAGACGACATTTCACTGAAACATGACCTGGATGGCACCATCTGTTGTTGACAAGCACTGCCACTGCCACTCCATCTCCTTTTCTTTTCCCGCTCCTCTTCAGATCTCTGTCTGCTCGTACAGTCAGGAATCCTGGCAGAGAGATGCTGGAATCGGGGATATGGTCCTGCAGCCACGTCTCAGTGAAACACATAACACTGCACTGCCGATACTCTGGCTGAGTCCTTGAAAGGGCTTGGAGTTCATCCATCTTGTTGGCCAGTGATCTCACATTGCCCATTATGATCGATGGAAGAGATGGTTTGAATTTTCTCTTTCTCTGTCTCGGTTTTGCTCCCGCTCTGCACCCACATTTGAGCTCATTTGGGATTTGTGGCTTCAGTTGAGGTATTATTTCAGCCTTTCCAATGTTAATCAGCTGCTCCCGGTTACGCATGGGTTACGCATCATAACAAATACTCAAAAAGTGAAAAAATAGCAATAAAAATTCTCTAAGCTTCACAGCACCAGAAACAGAAAAGTAAAATGTCCAAAAAAATAGTTTTTCTTGAGAAACTAGAAGAAAAAATGTCCAAAAAAGGGCAAAACTTACATATAGTCAACAGAGCTACTCCAACATGCAGCCACCCAGAGCAGTGCAGTTACGGAATGACACCTCATGATGAAAGTGGATGTGTTTTGGAAGTGTTTTTCCTGAGTTTTCCAATTAAATTCAGTCTTAAAAATATTGTCTGGCTTTTAGTGTTGCGAAATATCATTTCTGTATTTTCATAAATATTGCATCACAACAATCTTGTCAATACACTACCTAAATTGATATTGTGACTAATTATTAGTGGTACTGTTGGTAGTAGTAGTAGTAGTAGTAGTAGTAGTAGTAGTAATAACATTATTAAATTTTGAATTGTCAAACAAAACCAAAACCGTGAGCCAGTATGTGCTAAAATGACCCTTTACAGGGCAAATGAATTGTCTCTCAGGCCCCTATCGTCCTCTGTGGGCAGACTATGGCATTTGCAACTTCAGAGTGGCGGACCGATTTTTAGGACTTGGAAAATAATTTAGGTGACATGCCTGTCGCTGCAGTCTGCTTCCAGCATGTTTCCTGTATGTTTTAGATCATGCACACAGCTGATTTGTTTAATTTAGTGATTAATCGCTCCTGCAGACACTAACAAAGGCTGGGGAGACATTTCAGCTGTTAGATTAAGGTGTTAAAATGACGAACACATGGTGAGGAGATAAGTTTTGCTTTTGGTTCTACTAAACAACCACTAGGTGGTGCTAAAAGCAAGCCAAAACTACATAGTCTCCCTTTAAAAGCTATTTTTAATTAAAAATAATCAAATATTTATTTTGATGGGCACAACACTGGGTTTATGTTTACACAGGGTATACGATTCACATGAACGTTATATTTGGCTTCATAAACGGCAATTTTCGGTGAAAATCGTCAAGTTTGCAAGTATGAGACAAACTTATTTTAAATTCATGTCAATGCTAACCAAATTTAAGACTTTACTAAATCAATTTTAGACTTTTAAAGAATTTTAAGGTGCTAAATTTTCCTTTAATCAAATTCAGGACTTTAAAGACTTCAAGACCCCGCAGATACCCTGTTACATCTACCAGCCAGTAGAGGGCACCACTGCCTAACAGTCCACTCGGCACAGTGAGGCTGTGGAAAATGGCGGACTCGCCAAGTCAAGTGGTGGCTTTTGAGCTCAGAAGATGTCGTTATCCTTCTCAGAAGTGAAGCGACCATAAGTGATCTAAAAGCAAAGTGAGTTTAGGTGAAGCCTACAACAGATGAACCCAAGTAAAAGATTTCAGGTATCCCAATGGCTGGAAACCTTGTTCTATTGTTGCAACTACAACCTCCACAAGGGTTTTGCTTTGATGTTCGTGTTCCATATTCCACCTTTAACTTAATTATAATTTTTTTAACTAGTCTTCATTGTGGAGGTTTTTAAGGTCACACCTCTGTATAACCTTCATTCTATAAAACAACGGTTGGGTGACTGACGGCATTTTTTGCAGCAGAAACATCAAATGATGCTTGAACACACACTTTTCATAGTTCCTAGTGTCGAGCATGCCATCACAAAGACAAAATGGACATGTTGGCTTAATGGTCAAAGTCAGACTAGCATGGTAAAACAGTGTTGGTGTGAGAGACTGAGATCAGTGAACGGATTGAGAGGATAAGGCTCAGTCTGACAGCTGGTGTCAGGTAGGAGGAATAAAGGCTTCAGACTGACAAGGCATCAGGGATCTTTTTGATTCAGAGGGAGGTTCTGTTAACTGGAGACTTGCGCTCTGGGTGAAGAGAGAGTACTTGACGTAATAAAATGCTGTACTTCAACACAGCAATGGAGGATTCTCACACTCCTCAGAATCTGATCTGGCAGATGTTCGTTGCAGCTGTTCGGCCATGCTGTAAATTACTCCTACAACGTTTTAACACTTGTCATGGGTTGAACCTTAAAAAAAGAAGATGGGTTTTCTTCAATGTCTTCACACTTGTTCCACATTTATTAACTGTTTGGGTGCTTGTTATGCCAACATTTGAAGGAACGGTTAGATATGTAAGGATATGCCTCATCATGGAGTTAAAAATCTAAACAAAAATAAGTTTTAGATTTTCTTTGGTCATGAACATGTGTAAACTGATCAGAAGGGTTGCATTACATCATGCATAACAAACCAGAAAAAGGTGCATTATCAATGCTTCACAATGGAAACGACTGATTTTGAACAAGTGGAATATTCAGTGGTTTTCCAGTGGAAAACGTTTTTGCCTCATGCAGTTTATATCTTTAGTTCTTGAATGACTACAACAGGAAATGACATGTTGCTTTTTTGATCTTTTAGCCTGCAACATGGTGTCAGATAGGACAGGCAGTTATCAGGCCTGGGTTTAATAAAAATTAAACTTTCTTTTAATGAAATGTGTTTTAAACAAACATTTTTTGGGCTTTCATGAGTTTATTAGGTTCTTTTCTTTTGACTTTACTTGCAGTGATTTGGTCATTGACGGATGTTTTAAATGGTTTTTCAGATAACAGATACATTTGAACAGATTTATCGCAAACAAAACAATATTTGCAGAACTACTTGAAGTGCCAAAAACACAACCATGCTAACTTTAAAAAACAAGCTAAACATAACTGGAACAAAAGGTCATTATTTCAGTAATCCTATTGCCTGGAAATAATAATTGTACCAATGAGGCGTCTCTCAGGTGGGAGCTGGACGGCAGTTTGGTCGGCAAAACGGCAGAGAATCATGTGCTCCTGGTAGAAAACAGAAACAAACAAAAAAAGTTAAAAACACGAGGAGCCCCTCATTATCATGCTTTTGGGAATACATACATATATACATACAGACCTGCAACCACAATAAATGCGCAATCAAGCATTAGAGGAAATGAGTGGGACTAACAGCTTAACTCGTGCCCATCCTTCTAATCTCTGCATCTGCTTGTGTCACCAGTACAGACACAAAGCCAGTTTCAGCACACACTGACCAGGAAGAAGGCAAGAAAACATTCTCAGGAGATCTCACAGCTAAGTGTTATCAGCAGGAATTCAAGCCAAGAAATGTAAAATCTCCATTTTAGCCTCATTAGCACAGCAGCAGTAGCAACTTTGGATTTCCAGACCTACTTTAGTCAAATTTGCACAATACTTTTTACTCGGGACACAGATTAAGGAGCTCCGTTTTACTTCTCTAATCGCCTTCTCTGGGATGCTGTGGATTATTAGATTATGTATTCTAATATGGCATATCAGCACACTTTCATAATAATCCAACACATTTGTTATGGCCACCAGCCTGGCCTCTTCAGGTGCAGGAGCCAGGATCACCCAGCCCTGATGATCCGCCCGACACCGCCCCTCCTCCTGCTTTCCTCCAGGCTGCTGACGAGCACAGCTGAGCTGAATCCCTCTGATGACCCACACCTGCAATAAAAAGGCTGTGCCTTCAGCAGTCTAGGAGGCAGCAGTGCAGGGCTTCTGCTGTCTTCCAGGCCTTGTGTTGTTTTAAACCCCTTTGAATTGATGAGTTTTAACTTTAAAGTTTTAACTCTGAGTTGAGTTTTTACTAAAAAGAAAATGCTAGAACTCTGAGTTGATCCAAAGGGATCTTAGGCCTAGTCCACATGTAGCCGTTTTTTTTTTTTTTTAAAAATGAATATCCGCCCCTCCAAAAACTTGCATCCACACCACCTCGTTTTAAAAAAAAACTCTGTCCACACGTACCCGGATAAATACGTTGTTAAGGACATGCCAGACCTGTAGGTGGCAGTACTTCCCCCGTTCTTAACCTCGTCCTTCCTCTGTGGTCTTCCGCAAGGAGCAGTAATCCCGCTTGCAAAAACAAACAAGCAAAAAGCGCTTGGACAATTGATAAAGCGAGCGCAGCTCTGAGGGCATCCATGCTGTCGGCTAGTGTAAACACAGGTCGCACACGTGATGTCAGCATTTTTTTGTCGCGGAAAGTGACGTTGCGGACCTTAAAACTCCGGTTTTGTCCGTCCACACGCAGACACCCAAAACGGAGAAAACGCAGATCTTCACTTCGGCCGGAGTTTTTAAAAAGAACCGTTTTCATGTGAAAAAACTCCGTTTTCGTGTGGATGACAGGCCAAAACGTAGAAAAATATCTACGTTTTGGCAGATCCCCGGCTACGTGTGGACAGGGCCTTAATGATCTCTGGTTTTGGGATTTTAAAGGTTAAGTCTGTTCTGGTTTTAAGACTTTTATCAACTTTGTGGATTTTAAAACACCTTCAGTTTCGGTAAAACTTTTAACTTTTTAACCAGGCGTTTTAATTGTTGAAAAGTTGTATTAACGGTTAACCTTTTTGAGAATTTTCTGTTTTACATTATTTTAATAATGCTCACCATCTGTTTGCACTTGTTTTTAGAACCTTTTATAACAATTAAATCCATTTTAATTCCACTGTCATGTTTTTTGTATGTTACCCCTCCTTCCCATTTTAACAGCACATGTCAGGGTTGTAACATAAACGGGGGCTTGTCCGGGATTTTTAACTACATCAGACCATGAAGGAATGTACAATCCCCCGATGGTGACATTTTAATGGTGTTTTATTTGTTTTAAGCAACAGATGGCTGCGTGGATGACTGGCAGGTGCTGCTGGAGGTCCCACCCCCGCCGGAGGATCCACTGCTGGATGACCTCTCAGCCTACGAGCCTGATCCAGCCGAACATGAGGAAAGGAGATATTGGATCCAGAGATGACCCCCGCAGGCAGGCTCAGAGGCTTTCCCTCTTTGGCGAGAGACCTGTTTGTTTTACCTAGTGTTGCGGTGAGGAGGGTAGTGTTGGTGTCCCTTTGGGCACCATCTCGAGAGCACCCCAGGGAGTCTGGGGGATGTGCTAGTCAGAGGCCTTCTTCCAAGCTCTGCTGGTTTTGTGCTCAATATGCCCCCCTCCAATATTCTGCATGAAGACTTGGGATTCAGATAGCCTGTGTTATTGTTTGTATATCTGGGGCTCTCTTCGCTTTAAAATGTGATCCTTGCTTTTAAAGAAAGTTTTAAAAGTTGGTATTGTTGTGTTTCATTAACTTTTATCCTTTCAAAGCCAAGCCAAGAAATGTAAAATCTCCATTTTAGCCTCATTAGCACAGCAGCAGCTTTGGATTTTCGGACCAACTTAAGTCACATTTGCACAATGCTTTTTACTCGGGACACAAATTAAGGAGCTTCGTTTTACTTCTCTAATCACCTTCTCTGGGATGCTGTGGATTATTAGATTATGTATTCTTATATGGCATATCAGCACACTTTCATAATAATCCAACACATTACATTACATGGATGATGTGACTGGGGTTTATAAAGAAACAGTGGTGAAATCTGATGTTACGATCCCACTGGGATGTTTAGTGAACAGATAAGGCCTGAAAATGAGATGATTTCTACTGATGCATCACAAATCTGTCAGCTCAAAAGCTCAATCTCTGGCACGATTACTTTTACACAGAAACTTTAACTCTGTGCCTCCAAACTTCCTAGCATTAACATCAACAGCCAGACTCACTAACGAGCCTCCTGTGGAAGTTTTTGCTTATCGGTCAAACCTCCTCCTGCAATCATCCTACCTGCTAGTCTATATTAAACGTCATTAGGTTTTGTGACAGGGATCCTACCTGTAGCTGTTCCTTTTGCTTGTAATTATTTTTAACAGCTATTTTTCTCATTTATGTCCCTCTAAGAAACAGCCAAGCACAATGCAAGAGCAGTTCCTGGTGTGAAATATGAACATCCCCGTCAGCTCTCCAAACGCAGCTCATGAACCCGGGTCATTTATTTCCAAACAAAGGACAAGCTTCCTCATTTTGCTTTTGCCTTGTTATGGTTCATGTAACAAGTGACTCAGACTGGCTGTAAGTCATCTCTACAACTGCCTCGGCTTTAATTGATGCCATTTTTCACACGGCGGGGTAAAATGCTGAATGCAAGGCCACAGAGCAGCTCCTTAAAGTTTGCGTTAAGCACCAATACCTCACACCATTAACTCTTTATTCCAGAGCCATTTGTCAGAGCGCTGCCACTCGGTTTGACTATATAGCTCCAGAAGGGCAGATATGGCTCTGGTATAAAACAACACAGCCTATGTTTCCTCTAAGTGTTGTCTGGAAGGAGAAAAGCACACAGACAAAATGTCAAACACAGCTAGTGAAAGCAAAACCAAAGAAGGTGACCGATGAGATTTCGAGCTCTACTTTAAAATGACAAATAATGTCTTTAATGCTTCAGAATGAATAGATACTTTTTCAGCTGCAAAGCCACATGTTTAGTTCTCACTACAAGAACTGTATGTCACTGTATGACTTTTGTACAAAGAGTAAAACCTACCATCTCCTGATAATGTAATATTCCCTCTGTCATTTAAGCCTATAAATATCAGCTGCACAGACAAAAAATTAAAGAAAGTTGGTTGGATGTTGTGACATGTCAGCTTGAGGTTGTGATGGTTAGGACCTGCAGCTACTTTGCACAGATTTCCCCCTAGGGGCTCTGACATGTCCCATACATCACGCTGGGACAGCCACTCCCAAAGAGCAGCAGCCTGTCTGTGCTGAGCGATAAAAGAGCTGAGTGGCTGCAGGGGGAGAGCCGGCCCGTGTAAGGGCCTGCAGAATATTTGTTACCCAGACAGTGATTTGTGTAGATATCTCATTAAATCTGAGTTACTGTCTGAGGTTAAAAAAAAAAAATTGTTTAAATGTGTTTTGAATTTTTTCACTTTTATGGGAATATTTTGTCTGTTGCTATATTCCCCATAGTTAAATAAAAACTATTTGTAACCAGCCCAGTCAATATCCTGATCTGGCAGTACTCTTTTAGCTTTAGCTTAGCATAAAACAATGTAAGTGAATGGTACCAACTAGCCTTGAGTGTGAAAGCGTCATTAAAATTACTCAATAATGATTTTAATCTGCTTGGTGATCTCAATAATCGTAATGACTGCAAATGAAAATAATGAGTAACACAAAGGATTTAAAGGCATACAACAGACAACATTTTACTTTTGGGTGAAATATCCCTTTAAGGTTAATTGTATATGAATATTTATGTGTTAATTATTGTTGATAAAAAATTATAAGATAATCATGCACTGAAGCAGGTTCAGCTTTTCGTGAGATTAACATCTTAATTTTAAGAGTGAGATTCATTTTTATAACAAATAATTATATCAAACCTTAAATGTGTACTGACATTTTCTTGTAAAGAGGAAACGTGCATTTAAAACAATTTAAAAGATAAAAATTATGTCTAAAAACCTCAGCCAATAACACGTTTCGAACCGAAAGCACCTACTGGACCATCTGGTTGTTGGTCTCGCTGAGCCACTGTACTTTCCTGGGTCCTCCGTTCATTACACACTTGCATATTTTGCAACAGAAAACCACTGGTGTGAGAGGTTCTCGGCTCAGTAATATCAATACCAGCCAGCTGCTACCACTTTAACTTTAGGACAAACTACCAGAGTCCCAAAAGGAAAAACACTATGTGAGTGGTGATTTGCACTATCTTGTATCCTACGGCATTGCGAGTTGAGGGTTTCGACAGAAGCATCTCAGGGACAATTCCTAAGGGGGTGGGGTCAGTGTTCTACGACTGTGTTTGCGTTCAAAGCTTAGTTTGTATGCAGATTCACTAAAACAGCTTCAAGTACATATTATTTTACACACAGACGTAATGTTTTGCTTGTTAACCTGCACATTAATGGTTTAATCAACCCTTTTATAGTTAGAATCATTATGAAATGCAACAATGACTGTTACAAAATAAGTAATCTCAGGGATGAGGTCCTGCCCCAAGTGGAGGAGTTTAAGTATCTCGAGGTCTTGTTCACGAGTGAGGGAAAACTGGAGCGTGAGATCGATGGGCGGATTGGTGCTGCATCTGCAGTGATGCGGGCGTTGTGCCGGTCTGTCGTGGTGAAGAGAGAGCTGAGTCAGAAGGCAAAGCTCTCGATTTACGTTCCTACCCTCACCTATGGTCATGAGCTTTAGGTAGTGGCCGAAAGAACGAGATCGCGGATACAAGCGGCCAAAATGCCGCAGAGTGGGCTCTCCCTTAGAGATAGGGTGAAAAGGAGTAGATTCGCTGCTTCTCCACATCGAGAGGAGCCAGTTGAGGTGGCTCGGGCATCTGGTCAGGATGCCTCCTGGACGCCTCCCTGGTGAGGTTTTCTGGGCACGTCCAACCGGGAGGAGGCCTAAAGGTAGACCCAGGACACGATGGAGGGACCATGTCTCTCACCTGGCACGGGAACGCCTTGGGATTCCCCCGGAGGAGCTGGCCCAAGTGGCTGGGGAGAGGAAAGTCTGGGCTTCTCGGCTACTGCCCCCGTGACCAGACTCCAGATAAGCGGATGAAAATGGATGGATGGATGGACTGTTACAAAGTCCACCCTATCAAAGCCCAAACACACAGTAAGTATTGATTACAGATATTCATTATTTGACTTACAACATAAACAATTTATTAAAATTCAAACTAGCTATGCTCAGACTATTTCTTTCAAAAGTCCTAAAACTCCAGTTAAACATGTTTTAGCTGTCATGTTTAATCAAACTAATGAATTATATCTTATTGTCAACAATAAACTGGCTTTGAAACTAATGTGCAGACTAGCTCATTGCTGTTGGCTTGTTTCAGATTTATCATTCCTGTTTCTGTGTTTGCTCACTGTTGACAGTAGGAGAATACTTTCACCTTTCAGCGGGTCATTGAGGTCGGGTTCAAGCTCATCAAACTAAAACGTGAAGATTTATTACCTCAGATTCCATCAACTTTCATTTGACAGGCGGCATCTTTACTAAGTGGTAAACTGTAGACAGTAACCCTAACCCTACAACAACAAACATATTTTGCAATAAATATAAAAACCTAAAGGCATACCTGCAAACTTATCACTTTTTGGCGAAAATCACCGTTTATGAAGCCTTCTGTCAGGTTTCAGCCATGGGTTTTAGTCCCTCTTATGGAAATCAACCAGAAAAATGAGGGGACTCCTCTTGTTCACAACCAAATCTTTGTTCTAGTGTGTTAGTCACGTGTCATTTGACCATCACAGTAGTTGCCACCTTTTTCACACACTCCGAGTTTGCAGGTATGTAAAAGTATGAGTACATTTTACTTTATATTAAATGCAAATTAATAATAAATGAGTGAAGAAGTTTGGTCACATTTAAAAACGTACCTTGTGTGTAAGAGTCTCCTGGAACCTTTTGCTGTAAAAACAGAAAATTAGATTTTAAAAATGCAGTAAGCACAAAAAAGTGTTTCCTAATAGGCGACACGGGAATATGTATAGGTGTATGGGCATGTGTATTTGATGAGCTCACAATTTAAAAATGGTATAAACTTAAGGTAGGGTAAAATAAAGAGAATCCATTTTACTCAAAGTCAAATCTTGGAGGAATATTTTCCTTTGAAGCAGACACACTTGTGATTCTGTTACACTGTGTTGTTTGTTCAAGCCCAAAGAGTTTTGAAAAGACATCAATCTGTAAATAATCTTGCAGATTCTCAACCAGACTTAAAATGAACCCATGTAACTTTCCACCATTCCCACAACATGATGCTTCCACCACCGTGCTTTAATGAGACGACACTGAAGCCCTTAAAAATACCTTTGCAGTTCGTATGTTTATGGGGTGACGATGGCAGGGATGAAAGTTCACGTTTCATCTTTTGCAATTGTTGTGTCCATGGGTAAGACCTTTCACACACTTTGTCTGCTGATGGTGGTCGAAGTGACCAGTGGCGCCAATGTTTGGCAGCCTCACTTCTGTCCGTGCACTGCAGAGCAGCTGTGGCTACACTGAAGCTCATCACCATCAGTGTGTGAATTTGTTTGTGGGTGAATGACTGGTTAGTTGTAAAGTGTCCTGGGGGATTGTAGAACCCTAGAAAGCACTATATGAATGCAGGCCAGTTACAAGTTTCTGTGCTCTGGTTTCTGCTGGTTTGATTGTGCTGCTTTAAATGACAGCTTCATAATGTTGAACAATTGTGTTTAAAAGAAGGATTTCCAACATCAAAGCAAATCTGTAAGAAAACCACCCAATGTTTGGCCTTACAGTTCCTACCTTCAGTCCTCGGGTGCCTCATCCTGCAGCTTTAGATTTTTCTCTGCTCTAACATTCCTGATATCAATAAATGGACCATTAACAGGCTTCAGTAGAACTTGGGGACATTCAGAAGAGGAACTTCAAACATTGGCTGCTGTGTGTGGAGTAGAGAGACAAATCTAAAGCTTTTAGGATAGTGCGTTAGTGTGCCTTAAACTTAATTAAATATCTGAAACTCCCATTGAATTTAATATTTTACTTCTGGGCAGCAACAAAGAACAAGACTTGTTTTTTTTTATTCTTTTTTGTTCAATTTAAAGGCGCATTATGTAGAAATGAAGTAAGAATGACATCCTGTGGTAAAATATGGTTACTGCAATCACTTTAAACAATGTTGGACCTTTTTGCTGGCCATAGTCAAATTATAATTGTCAGCGCTGCAGTATTAGTTCGCAGGAGACACGGCAACCCCACACTCACTGATGGTAAAAAGTTACGACCATCCTTCCTTTGTTTTGAAAGGAGAAAAACTGACAATCCCCTTAGCCAGCTGGATATGAAATATGTTTCAGTAGAACCTTCCTTCCAGAACTGGTGAAACATCCGACTCTTTTCAGATTTTCTCACTATAGAATTCTCACTATATTCTCACATAATGCACCTTTAAGGGGTGGTGACCATTTCAGAAACCACATTTATGATCTGACGTACTTAAAGTGGCAGTGTGTAGTTTCCTGCCACTTGGGGGCAATGCATACATACATCTCAGGGTAGTTTTACACCATATCTTCCTGACTGTTGCTAGCAGTGGCAGCTGGTGAATATTTTTTCTTGGGGGGGGCGCAATATACCAGGTGTGCAGAAAACAGCATGCCAGCTGAGAATTGAGTGACCTGGAAGGTGCAATTAATAATGAGGTTTTTAAATAGATTTGTACTAGTAACATGTTTCTTATCCTTTTGCTTCCTTACAAAATGATGGTTTATGGGCAAATAAATAAAATAAAGGTGTTTACGTTATGAATGTATTAAAAATAGCCTCATCGCTCATAATTCTAATAATTCCGTCTGAAATATGCAGTTGGAACAACTCTGATGCACTATCCACATATCACCATCAGGGAACACCAAATCACCATTTGTATGCATCACACCGACAGACGCTAACAGCAACATTGTTCCAAAAATGAGCTTAATATTTACCAATATATGCAAATTCAGCAAAAAACAAAAACAAAGCTCATTTCATGGTTAAAAAAATTTACTCCGTCCTAACTTTGCCGGTTTAAGGTTGTATTAATCCATGGTATAGTAAAACTAATCCACTTTTTTACATGCAGGAGATTGTTTAGAAGTGTCTGATGCCACATTCCATCATTTTCCTTCATAGTAACAAAACTCCACGAGGTGTACTCAGCTGCTCTACAACAACCAAGGACGGTGAACTGTGGAGAATTTCCGGTTCTGTCCAGCCCAGATCTGAGACTCTGCCCTGCCGGTCTTCTGCGCATCTCTTCGTGGGCGTTATACCGTGCGCCCAAAGGCTCTCCTACTGCTTGCATTAGGAGGGGGGATCCAGCGCGCATGCGCCAGTTAGCGTAGGCCTATGGTAGAGATTACTGCGCCCAACAGTAACAGGAAATACGTCACAAGATGATTCGGTAGTGTTAAAAGTGTAAATAACATTTTTAAACTACACTTAAATGCCGATTATACACAACACTTATAGTCTGTATGATGTAGAGATCGTTTAGTTTAATTTTCATGTTGTTTTTTTAATATTTTGTGATTCCTATTCTCTTCTTCCTGTGAGACTGGTGGGGCGGCGCACTAGCGCCCCCCTATGGACGAGCCGCCACTGGTACAGTTACTGTTACCCGTGGAGAAAAAAGCATGCAACCTCGACGTGACTCCTCAGAGTTTGATGTTCCTTTATGGTGTCAGATGGGTGCCAAAACCTGTGCACGCGTATTCCGCGTGCATGAGAGAATTCAAGTCGATTGTAGTTTTCTGGCGCTGTTCTTTCTGGATATGCTCGGGGGCTTGCGCCAGCCGATGACGATGGCAATGCAGTGACTACGGCAATACCACTCGGACAAAATATACTGGATCTCTTTTTCAATTCTGTTCATCCCCATGTTTTGGAAATAGTTTAGCAGTTTTGTTATTAAATGTGTGATTCTTACTACCTAAATCTTTTTGAACATGGTAATGTAACGTTCGTAAGTTGTACGTTCAGCCAATCATCTAGTGTGATGTCATCAACATGCGCAGGTCCCCGAGCTGGCCAGACGGAAACATGGCGTCCCCCAAAGATGCTAGACCCATGTACTTCAGACCAGGTTTTTATGGTTACATGGTACAAATCCACCAATATTTTTTAATAACTGGACATTATTTTATTCATTTTAAACAACATTCCGGTGGATATTTCCAGATTATAGAGGTAAAAACTACTGATGGTTACTTTAAAGCTGACCTTTTGTTATTTTGTCTCATTTAATGTAGGCCTAGCCAACACAAACATAAGTATTGTTTCAAGAAAACTCTTCATTCGTGCAAAAAACACCAAAGACAGGAAACAAGGCTCAAAGCATAGGGTACAACTGCAAACACAGCAACAACATAAAAATGGAAATGTTTGGGGCTATTGTGTGACTTTTAAAAAATATTTAATTGTTGCTGTTTACAAAACAAACGCAAACATGAAAATTCCAGATTTTATTATTTCTTTAAACGCTTTTCTAGGGATGACATCTTTGGGTTTTTTAGAGCATAATGACTAAATATAGACTAGCCTATTTTACACCTTATTTTAATTGCAGATTCAAAAATCAAGAATCCGCAAAGAAGAGTGAATTTTATGCAGGCCGATATACGTCATATGTTAACTATGTCAGGTCAAAGGGGATGTGGATGCAGTGGTTGGTGGGAAAGATTAAAAAAAGACTTCAACAAATAAACCACGACTAGGAGGAAAAATCCCAAATAAACATACAGGATCTCATTAGATGAATCACGTTCTCTCTGGGAAACAAGACCTTTCCTTACTGGTCAGAACACAGGAACAAAATCAGTTTGTTTGTCATGGATAGTGTAGTTTGTTTTGGTTAATGATTGGTGCTAATGAAAATTCAACAGGAAGCGTGTGGAAGGGGTTTTCTGGCCAGTCAGGTGGCACAGAGAGGAGCAGAACGTTTAACGTGAACATTTCAGGCTTTAATGAAATGGGCGGCTGAGTTTCACAGCTCATAAAAGCCTGCTTGGAAAGTCTGCACCTGCAGAATGTCCACATGAGAACCGGTACCTGGAACGTGACCTCAGGCAGAAAATACTAAAAGTGTCATGACTGACAGAGTCAGGCGGGGAGGTCCTTCATGCATACTGCCCTGCAGAAACACAGCTTCTTCTTGTTCATTAGAGCTGCAGAGTATTATTTTCAGGCATTCTTTACATTTGTGAGAAGTCAGGTAGGTTGATGAGTTAATTTGGCACCAACAAATGTTAACATAATAACAGTAAACCAACAAATACTAATCCTGTTTTAGGAAAAATCCACTTCCCACCTTTAGAAATTCTTATGGATTCTATTTTTGGTTGAGTCATTGCTGCTTGATTTCGAGGTCAAATGAAACTGAATAACTTGTGAACTCATACTGGTGGAGAGGTAGGATAACCAGGACTACTAAACACAGAAGTGACACAGAGAAGCAGATTCTCACACCCAGAGAATGCTGCTGTTAAATCAGCAAAAACTGTGTGTTTTTTTCCCCAGCAGAAGGAACTGAGAACCATGGAGACGTGCGCCTTCAGCCATACTACAAAAGCTTTAAAACGAGTCAACGGTTTCCAGGTGACCCTCAAACTCAATCTGATTGAAGATTTACAGTGGCACAAAGTTTTGGGAGTTTGTTTAGAACAGAAATTGGAAACAAACTGAAGCAAAAACAAATAATGATGCAGGGGATTTTCAAAGGGAGACTGGGGGGAGCTGCTAGAGACAGAATCATAGTACAGATGTGTGAAAAGGAACGCTTCTTTGCTTTTCACATACAAACCAATAAAACCAACTGCTTCCTGTTATATTTATTTGCACATATGATGAAAAAGAGCAAGTGTGGGATATATTGGTGAACTACTTTCAACGGATGCTTACAGCTGTGCTTTGTCATAAAGTAGTCCCAAGTCTAAAATGGCACCGGTGGGATGCTTTGTTACTAATTATTTTCACTTGTGTGATTATTTAGGTCACCAAGCAGAATTGGGATCATTAGTGAGTGATTTTAATGACCTTTTTTACTCACAGTGCTAGTTGGACCCATTCACTTACTGTGTTTTATGCTAAGCTAAAGCGAGTGGAGTAGAGTCGGGTCAGGAGAATGACTGGGCTGGTTACAAATTGTTTTCACCCCACTTATTTAACTCTGGGAAATATGCCAACAGGCACAATTTCAGTTTTGGGTGGAATATCCCTTCAAGATGCCTTCTGCAACCCACCAATTAGCGACAAAGCGAAGGGTCAGCCGGCTTTGAGGGTCGAGTGTATGAAGAGTGGTCCATTTTATGCATTTGACATCAGAGACGATAAAACAGTTAAATCTAACAGAAAGCAATCTTCTAACGTGGACACTAAAGTAGGGTTGACTTGATGATCTTCCAGTAATCCTGTGAAGCAGCTTTGTTTTGAAGCAGTCACTCACATGAAGTAGTCCTAGCAGCTGTCTGCAGTGTTGTGACTCCTAAGCTATCATTGCATTAGCTCCACATCAACACTAATTAGATGCACAGCAGCCCCCTCAGCGTTTATTGCCTGTGCGTTCTGTCAGACAGCACCAACATTCGTGGTTATCTCTCTGTTAAACCAGATGTTGGACGTGTACAGACAGGAGTGTTTTCTTTCTGCTCCTCCCACTAGATTTCCATGCTGGTGTATTTATACTAGTCCTAACTGCCCCCTTTCTCCGACGCTGACAGCATGACTGAAAAAGTGAGGGATGGACCCCGCTGAGGAGGTGATGTGACACTCCTGCCTCAGATTGTCAGCGGTGCCGATAAGAGACAGGAGCTGCACAGAAAGCGGCGACGACGAGACAGATTATCAGTGTGTGAGAAGGAAATAGTGACAATGACTGTGAAAATGATGGAAAGCTAAGGCCATAAAAAGTAAAAATGTGGAAAGAAAAAAAGACGGGGAAGAGGAGAAGCTGCGTAAAACTGATAGGAAGTTAACAAGGTCAGAGAAAAACATTTAACAGAGAAGAGGCCTGGAGAGGTGACAGTGGAGAGGTGTGGGGAGCAGGCACAAACCTCTTGGGGAAGGTGAACTTGACGGCGTTCTGGATGAAGCCGTAGCAACAAGGACTAATGACAAAGGCGGCCCTTGCCTGGATGCAGCGTCCCAGCACCATGTCTGTTGCAACGCCACATGCATGGAGGGCCACCTGAGGTAGAGCAGGCAAAGTCAAACTCAGAAATGTGATACTTTAACCAAAACAATCCAAGTAATCTGGGTTCAAACATCCATTTTCCTTTTGATGCAAGGCTGAAACGGTTCACACTTGAAAGCACGTACTCGGTGCCATTGATCACTTCATTATGGCTACTCCAATTAAAAAGCATCTACGTTGTGCAGAGTGGGGCAGTTAGAGCAAATGAAATGTATCACTGCTGTTGGAGTAGAGGCACGAATGCACCAGTGTTCATGTGGAGTGGGTAACCTGTGTGTGGCGGTAAACATCTGTCAATACATCAGCACAGCTGAACATGGCTGACGGAGACTAAAAGACCTAAATCCTCAGTCCAAACGTCCTTCCAGACATTCTTCTTACGTAGGAATTATCATGACATCCTGAAATGATGATAAATGGTTTCAGATCATGAACGCTAACTGAAACATGAGGATTTATCGGGTCTGATAGGACAACTTCCACTGCAAGTCTGTAAATGACCTTGTTTCTATTCTTACAGCCTTTTTTCGTTGCTGCTCTTGTTTTCCAAGAAGTTGTCACTTTGGTGCCTGTGAGTCTGAAGGGACGCCATGTTGCCTTGGCAGCAGTGGCACCAAGCAGAAGTTCAGAGCAGGTCAGAACTGAACCAAATGGCTGGAGAAGATCCAGACGCTGCAAGCAGCATGGCTCGGTCGTCTCCCGGTTTGTCTAGACAGACGAGCTACGTGCTCTTCAAGTCTCCATGGTAGCTGCACTTGCTTATGATCACGCCTCAGACTGAACGGAGAAATCTGTTTAAAGGGTTCCACGCTCAACAAGTAAATGTTAAAAATAAAATACAATAATCTTTTAAAATACACCAGAAGTGTAAAAACAGAAAAAAGATTCAATCAAACCTGAAAACTATTTTAAACAAGACCCAGAGAATTTTTTTGTCTTTTACAGCATTTACTGTAATGCAGAAAAAACATTAAAAAATAAATAAACATTAAAAAAAAAGTAAGCAAATTTGTTCTGATTTATAACTATAAACCATAAAAGAGCCACCATCTTTCCCAGACATTAATTAGGTTTCAATCATGGGGGTTAAAATCTTAATAATTCTATTCATCTTCAATTCAGTGGCGCCAAATCGAGACAAGAGTTGTCTCAAGGCACTTGTAAACAATGCAAACTGAGTCCAGTTCATCAAGTAAATTAGTTAAAAGCTTCTTACCCCAAAATTCCACTACCTCCGCTCCGCTCCGGCACGAACTCCGCAGCAAAATCGGCCCCGTTGTAGTCAATCAGAGCTGTTCCACTACCCGCCGTTCCGCCATCCGGCAAAATAGGATCGATTCTATTTTGGACGAACGCCGGAGCACCTCCGCAGTCAATGGACAGAAATCACAACCGCCCAACAGGAAAAGGAGCAAGCACAACTTCCGTTATTTCACAATAAATCGATAAACAAAAAGCGTTTTTTGTTTCATATGCACAGGTTTAACAACTTTTAACAACTATCAATGACGGCTGAACTTTAAATGCACAAAAGTAAGCCATAAATACAGTTTCCACTATCAAAGTAGTCACACTTTGTTGATCCAAACACTGCTGATCTCTCAACACAAATGATGGGCAGATTAAACAGTTCATGCCGATGCTTCTCCCACACAACGGGTGTTTGGATCTAACTTCCGCGTTTATTGCTCGGACTGTATCGCAAGATCTCGAAAATCCCGCGCATGCTTGTTTGCCCACCTCAGGTCTCCGCACCGGAGTGGAGCCGTTGTAGAGCGGGTACCAGTAAAAATTGAATTCGGAAGCGAGCGGCTGCGGAAGGCGGGGGCAGAGCGGAGCGGAGGTAGTGGAATTTTGGGGTTATATAAAGGAACCCAGCAGAGTCGCTGACTTGTATTGCCTATCCTTTCCACCGGACGTGAAAACGGCGTGTAACATAATAGCGAAGTTTTACCTGCAAGCTCCCTTCCACCCGGGAGCGAATCAGACACACAAAAGGGGCAAAGGCGGTTTGCTCTACTGGTCTCGCAAAGTCACAAAATGACGGGAGAATTGCAAAAGCACGCATGATTTCAGAGGTATAACAACCAAGGAGAAGGACTGTTGCATGTATCCAAAAAGGTCTGATTTGTTTTCTGCTCTTTTACATCAGGGTAGGAATTGACGTACGTTTATTTGCAGTTGACTTTTATTTTGAAAGTTTCCGGATATTTTACACTGCTTTCGCATTTGACTTCCTGTCTAGCCCGATTAAAACAGCAGGGTTGGACGTGTTTTGAAAGCGTAGTGCATGAAATATAGACGAAACCGAATGATAGCGTCCCTTTGCTTTATTACACTTTGCTGCCGGTGGAAAGGAACCCGTCCGCTATAACGACGGCTAATTGCTGCGAAGTTCGTTTCACGGCCTTTTCGTGAAGCTTGCACGTCTGGTGAAAAGGAGGCTTCAGAAACTTTACAGCAATCTCCATACTAAGTAGGCATGTAGCGACAGTGGAGAGCCTCAATTATTTACTTATAAACATTTTAAAGATTTTTTTTATAATTTCTCAATCATTTGGTCTGAATTTTAGCCTCCTAAAATCAAGCATACTGAACCATTGCTCCAGTGAAAAACGTTCTGATTAAGCTGGCATAATAAGGAGCCTCATTGCAGTCGAACAATGCTCTGTATGTATATTCTGTCCTGGGAGAGAAAGATGCCTTTATTTAGCATGCACTAACCATAGGGGTACTTGTATAAGTAAATTCTTGGGTAATCCATCTTTTCTAGAAAAGGAAGGCTGTCTTTTTGTCACACGTTCACTCAATAATCACATCATGGAAATGATGAGGCTTCATTATTCCCTTTTATTCATATAATCAGGGCCCTCTTCTAGTCTGTCTGGGCCTGAGCTGAGGGAAAATGTCTGCAGCTGTCTACTTCAACATAACCTTCTGCTGGAATGGGCTGCAAAATTACTTTGCTGCAAATGAGTTTGCAGCCACTTTTAAAGGCTAAGTCACAACTATTTCATATGTATACATTTAATTGTCTTATTGAATTAAACAGATTATTTAAAAGAACTACTTTATTGTACTGTTAATTTCTTGTTTTATGTTGGAATAAAAGGCAAGCAAGGACTCCCATAAAAATTATCAAGAGTAAAAATAAAAAGTAGCACATTTAGTTTATGTGGAGTATGTAAATAAAATAGGGGTCATTTATATTATGTGTGTATTAAATGTTTATGAAATTGTTTTTTATATGAGTTGCAATGATTAAATGTTGTTGTTTTTAAGCTAATAGCTTTATCTAAATATTTAGATGTGTTTAAAGGTGAGGTTAACAGAAAAAAATTTGTATTTATTATTTCTGATTATAATCGGTAACTCGGTTTTCCATGCTGGCTGAACATGAGAATAGTCTCCGACACCCATCTGCTGCATTAGCTTCTGATAGAAAATAGATGGTGAAACTCGCCCAAAAACAGCAGAAAACATCTCAGCTAGTAGAAGCTAACGGTTAGCATTATCAGCTACCACAAGACAGAACTCAGTTTTTTCAGTAACATCCCACCTACCGAGTGCTGTGATTGGCCCACCAAAGCAATAGAACGCTATGACTGGACCGCTACAGAGCCGTGGCCATTTTGGTTTGCAGTAACATCCCCCCACCTGGCTGATAATGCACTGTGATTGGCCCACCAAACCAATAGATCGGTGTGATCAGATCGCTATGGAGGTCAGTCCACCTTTACGTCGTGAAAAAAACTCCATAAAACAATAAAAACATAAAACAATACATTGTTTTTCTAAATTAACGCGCTAATTCAGAGTGACTGATGAGCCAGAATCCTGGCCAGGCTTGTGAAGGTTCGGCTAGCCGTCTGAAGCTCTCTTTTGATCTGGCAATCTGATAGGTCCTGAAACTGTAGCACTGGGGCTTTTTGTACCCAAAGTACGACTTACAAGGCCTTCATTCCTACTAGAGGCCACGCTAATGTATTACCACACCTATAAATTGGGATGAAGTAAAACAATTCCATAAAGCCAGCACAGTAGCAGAAATGACAGACAACCTGCATAAGGGTGTTGGAGATTAGAAACAACTGACAAAATCAATTTCACGGTCAGTTTTGAAGATTGTCCAGATGATTTACATACGTTAGCCCAAGCTTGAACAAAACAATGATTTAACTCAGTTTCACAATAAAAATAAACGTTTTGTACAACCACAGTTACAGTCACATTAACATTCATGTAATTTTAGGATTTTGAGCCCCTATTTTTTGTGGAGCTCCACAATCCTCAAATCATCATGAGTGTTGTAATTAAACATGAAAACACCTTGACCAGCGCCAGCTTGAACTTACACAAAAGCCGGTTAGCTCAACAACATCAGACACGAGAAGAGATTAAAGGAAAACCTTGATGCTCTGACTGAAGGCCGGTTTAACACCTGAACCAGGCAGCAACAGCCTGGAGGAGCAGACTGACTAAAATTAGGAACATCTCAACACAATTAGCATGGCTAAGTGAACGTGACTAAAAATGGGACCATGCATAAAACATGAAAGGTTTAAAACCTTTGTGATGAGTGGCTCCTTCAGGGTATCGTTCACATGCAGGAGGGAAGCCAAAGAAGGGAAAATCAAGTATTTTTTATTCATACATACAAAAATACAAACTGTATGAATTTGAACCTCATGCATCATGTTAAAAAGCATCCATGGGTGTTCCTGGCTGGGTCACTAAAACACTCATATGTAGTTGAGAGGAATTATCTGAATGTGTTTTGTTTTCCCTCCAAGTGGAACAGGTCTCAGTGGAGTGATACAGGAATAAAGATTTTATTTTTCTAATTAATGAAGGTGAATTTATATTCCTATTTGTCCCAAAGAAAGTTGCAGCATGGAACAGCTGGTTCGTCTAAAACTGGGCTATGATTCACAACAGGAAATCGCACATGTCTCAAGGGGACTAAATGACCTGAGATACATTTGAAATGCCCGCGCCATGAGGGAAGAACCAAATTCATTGTTGGAAAAGCCCGATCGTTCAGTACGATCTGATGTCAATGTTTTCTGTCCAGTAGGAGGCCTGTCCCTGTTGGCGTAGTTAGATCCAGGAGGTCACTGTTTTTGACAGGATGTGGATTTTTTTTAACCATCATAAAAAGACGGATTGAACACATTTTCTTACAAAAAATTAAGTAAAATTATACCAAATATTATGAGACTGTTATAACAAATGAGTCATGAAATAATGTATTGAATATGTAAACAAATATATTGTGTAACAAGAATCAGCTTTTTAGGGTTTAATCCCAGGACTGTGTGTGTGTGTGTGTGTGTGTGTGTGTGTGTGTGTGCCAATTTTTGCAACACTTCAAGCAAACTTTGTCTTACAATCTGTGACCCGCACTTGTATAGCGCATTTCAGAGCCATCGTACTCCAAAGTAGCGCTGGACAATAATTCAATAGTTCAATATATCTATCGACAGACATGTGGTGCCATTGGAAAAAAATCGGTCAATAAAACTTTGATGAAGAAAAGTTTCCTTCCTTCATTATAACCTTTTTTTTCATTATAAATCTATATAATATAATAATAATAATCTATATATCGTCCAGCCCTACTCTAAAGCACTTTACACTACAGTGTATGATTCATCCATGCACACACATTCGCACGCTGGTGGTGATGAGCTACATCGTAGCCACAGATGCTCAGGGACGCACCGACAGAGGCGAGGCTGCTGAGTACCGGGGCCAGCAGTCTCTCTGACCACCACCAACAGGGTAAAACGTGTTGAACAAGAACAAAACAGATAAAATAAAGAGAACGCTGCTCACCCCAATGTGGAACAGTCCAGTGAAGTAATCCAAGTTAGCCTGAAAGAAGCTAATGTTTTTCAGTCCGAGCTCAGTGCTTCGACGCTGGGCCCTCACCAAGGACTCCTCTTTGTTCTCTATTAGAATGATCTTAAATTAAAATAAATACAAAATTAGTCACTTTTTTTTCTAAATCCTTGGAATAAGAAATATTCACACAGAAATCCCATCTAGGCATTACAATTTTCATGTTAGAGAAAAACATTCAGGAGTAACACATTTTTTAGATTATTCTATGAATAGAAATAACAGAAATAACATTTATTTCAGACTAAAAGCCACCCTAAACCTAGCATTTAATATCATTCCCGAATAAATATTGATTTTTTAATGTTTCTAAAATGCTATTAATTTCACAGAAATGAAGCTCAAAATGAATCCAGAATGCAATAACAAACAACTGTGTGTGTGTGTGTGTGTGTGTGTGTGTGTGTGTGTGTGTGTGTGTGTGTGTGTGTGTGTGTGTGTGTAGGGAAAAAAAAGGAAGAAAACTCATGCACACGAGGGAATGCATCTTCAAACACACTTTACCTGGCAATCTGGAAGTGTGTGAGCCAGAACAATCCCCACATGACCCTGAGAGCCAGCAGCAAAGAAAACAAACCAAAAAGTAAAACGTAAGCACAGCACACATCAAAGAGGGCATCAACAGAGGTATGAATCCTGCTGTGCTTCAAAAAGAAATCCCTAAACAACAGAGCAAAGCTGCTCTGAGTGCTTCTAAGATCGTAACGGCCAGTCTTCCTGGGTGTTGTGTCCATTTAAGTGGCGATAATATGAGGACGTCTTCCAGTAACATGTAACCACACATTCGTACCGTTCCACTGCAGAAATCCACAACCGTGCATCCTGGACTGGCTAGCTTGGAGACCATGGCAACCAAGTTATTTAGCTGTTGCATCTTCCTGGTAGAACGGATATTTGACATTTTCCCTGCAAAGAAAAAGAACATGAGAACAGATTCTTATTGCATTTGAAATTAGGTTGGAAATCAACATCTGAAAATTCAGCTGAGGGATAAAAAAGCAGCCAGTGAGAGAGGGGATAATGGAATAAGAAATGTTAAGGGTACCTTAGAACTTTGTTGGCTACAAATACATGAAAACTTTCAAAAAAGGACTTAACATTAACGTATTCTAATGCCGCCTTTACTGACGTCAACGATATAAAAGACTTCCTCCAGAATCTGCTTCAAACCCTGATTTACAACCAACAATTTCATGAAACAGTTATGGCTCACCGATGAAAAGACCTCCGCGCTCTCATCACTGTGATTCTCATCAATTGCCAGGTGGCACAAACAATCTCTCATCATCAAAAGTGTGCCTCAGAGATAAAAATCAAGTGTCTCCTTGTTTGCGGCAGAAATTCCAACTGCTGTGTGAGTAATATGTGCCCATTAGCTCAAAAACCACTGAGATGTCCCGCATCGCCAGTGGTCTGGTGCACCATTCGGCAGTTAGCTACTGTTGTGCTGTGCAAAAAGCTTTTTTCTGTTTGTAAATTTAGACTGATGAGGGATTTGTTTACCCCCCGACGTTGCATCCACATGTTCGAAACAAAAAGCCTACTGGTATGGTCCCAGTTAGAATTCACACAACAAAGATGGTGGCAAATAAAATTAAAAAATGATGAAAGCAGCAGAAAGATTGACTTTGAACATCAGTACTTCACACAGATACGCACTTCTGCAGTTAAACTGAACTTTGTACAAATGTTTTTTGATGCCTTTGAATTCATTTGTAATTTAAGGAATGAAGAACTTAGCAGGACAGAGGTTATAAATTTGATGCAACCTACTAAGAAAGAAGGAAGTAAAGATTAGAAATGTTTGCTTTTTTTCTAAAACTGGTTTCATTTTTGATTTGCTCAGCACTTGTGGGAAAAAGTGTCTTAAGCTGCATAAAGCTGTTGTCTGTCAGGTTTTTGACTCTCAGGAGGAAAAAGAAACCTGGGAGAGTGAAATAACTGAATCTAAAATCTGATTAAATGCTTTGGCTGAAACTAGGGATGCTCAATATTGGCTTTTTTACCAATATCCGACATATGATATTATCTAATTCTTAATTTCCGATTCGAACAGATAACCATAAACGCAGGGGTCCCTCTAATAACAAAATAATTTTGGCTGCTAACATCACGGATCTCCTGCCATAGACAAAATTGCAACTACATCAATTTAAGTTAGTAATAGAAAAACGTCATGTTTAATTTGTCTCCAACAGCAGTTGAATATTCTCCTTGAGATAATCCTGACTAACGTGCAGCGATGCCTTTAGGCCGCATATTAAGTTCAGGATGGGAATAAGTTTAACTAAAAAGTTAATAAATAGTAACTGATTCAATGAAAAATGTGAAAATGTTTTAGGTTTTCAAAATGGATCAAAGTGACACATCACTGTTACACATGATCTTAGTTATATAGTCTGTGAGAAAAGCGACAGAGTGAGCGCTGCAGGCCTATCACTGACGTAGTTTTTCCCCCTCCCTTCAGGTGCGTTTACATTTGGGCACAAATGAGAGAAAAAACGGCTCACGAACACATTCTCGCTTTATATGTTCGTGCCTTGGAAAACATTTGTCTTTATAACTATTGATGCGTTCAGGGAATGTTTGGGCGTGTGCCAAAGTTATTTAGCTGATAAAATGTAAGCAGCGTGAGCGTACACGTGCTAAATGAGGCTAACTGCCAAGTGTGACGCTAAGATGTGTGTATTAGTCAGTAATGTATTTTTTCTGTTTTCTTCTGTTGCTTCGGGTGAAGATTCTTTCACTTGTTTTAGATGTTTTGCTAGCTGCTAGCTACACATAGCTACGTAGTGTAGTGTAAAGCGCTTTGGAGTCCTTACTCTGAGAGGCGCTATACAAGTGTGGGTCATTCATCAATTACGTGCTGTTAGGACAGCTATATCCTATCCTCTATAAAGGGCAAATTCCTAATTATTCACAAGTTATGCCAAATAATAGTAAAATATCTCAAAAACTAAACATCAGATCTGTCATATTTTGGCATTCTGAGAGAGAGGAGATGAAGCTGAAGAGCTTGATGTCTAATATGTGTGATATGTAAAAGTTGGGTCACTAAAGGAGTAAAAACCAATACAGATATTTTCTGATATTACATTTTAAGGCCAATAGTGTCCAATAATATTGGACATCCATCATGCATGTTTAGTAAAGTTCGCATTTTCACATGTAAGAAAAATCCAGACATAGAATTAATGTTAAATATCCCACCATTGAAACTAAGGACAAAACTGGCACGAGTTTTTAATAAGGACACGTCTGTGCACAACACAAAAAGAACCCAAGGTAATCACAGAGGGCCTTCCATAAACCCATCACACACAATCATGCAGCAGCTGTGATTTAAGGTAATTTTAAGAGCAAAGATATCTCTTTATGAAATCTGAACACATTTACTCTGTTTTTTTTTATTTAGCGTTCCAGGGAAGAGCTATGAGTGGAAAGTGATGTCTATGTGTGTCACACCTAAAGGCTGGGTTAAAGTGAGTAGGCAGCAGGTAAAAAGGATGCTTGGCGAGTAATGTGTTTCAGAGTTTTTAATTTCACATTTCATTTAAATCCTGCTATCATGAATAAAGTTAAACCAGATGTCCAAATGGTTCAAGTTCAAGGTCACCATCGAGTGCATTCGTTTCAGTCCAGGCTGGATGAGCACTGTAAAGGATGGTAACAGTAAACGAATAAAGGATTAAAGAATAAAACTAGTATTTTACCAGGAAGTTGGACTCCTAAGAACTGGAATCTCTTTACAACAGCATCCTGTTGTCCTCTGCTGTGTTTCACACCTGTACTCTGAGAAAATGTTGAAGTCAGGAGTTGTTCCATGTCCTTGACACCTCCTGTCACTGCCAAGGAGTTAATCTGCTCCTGCCACTTCTTTGTCCAAGCATTTAAAACTGTGTTTGTTGCTCTCTGTACAAAGTTTTATATACGACAGCTAATAGTTCTCCATCTTGGTTGGAATCTCAAGACAAAACTTTCAAAAAATAAAATTCTCCAGAAAGACTTGAGGGACTAATGATGACGACAAATTAAAAAGATGTCAAGAAGTTTTGAGTCCTTGGGAAGAAAGTATAAAGATAACAAGGATGAGTTCAAATCTTTTATATAATAATTAAAATAATACAAAGTGACAATGTGTAGTTTTTACCATTCATTTCTGGAAATATCCATTGAAATGTTGTTGTAAATGAAGTAAAAGATAAACAGTTGTTGAAAATTATTGGCAGTTTCATAACATACAACCAAAAACATTTGGGTATAAACTACATTGGAGTGGGTCTGACCCCTTTTTTCCACCGGAGCCGTCAGCAGCACGTTACTGCAGCAGCACGTCTTGCTCGCGTAAGCTGCTGCTTGGCCCCTCCCACGAGATGCGAAGCAGCAGGGGAGCAGCTGTCACCGACCGAGCACAAAGTCACACGAGTGACTTCGTCAGTAAACACAACAACAAGCAGGAGAAAACTACAACATGGCTCCAAAAGGTTTGTGTTTTATGTTCTGTCGGTTTTATAATCGCCAATACGGACCTGAAAAACAAAGGAGACCGCTAGCTAGGTGATAACTTCTCACGGGGACGCACATTTAGTAACTTTTTTTAAAAGTAAAGCAACCGGAAGGCAGTACGTGTCTTTATTCTGAAAATCTCGGGAGCTTCTCTCCATTTCCGCGTCCAATTTCCTGTCTTTCCTTCCCCAAAAATGTCGAACTTGACCCGTTTCAGAGGCGTCGCGCGTAGAAAATAGAACCGGCGCGTAAAGGCCGCGACATGCTGCTCCTGAGACGCGGCCGACTCGCGCTGCTGACGGCTGCTGATGGCTCCAGTGGAAAAGGTTCTGTTGACCACAGCGGTTCCTATCAGCAGCTATGACGTGCTGCTGCAGTAACGTGCTGCTGACGGCTCCTGTGGAAAGCAGGGGTAAGTCTCTGGGCTATGCCAAATTGGATGCAATGTTTCCTTCTGCGAAAGCCCATGAGGACAGAATGCATTTACTGATTTGTAACAAATGGTTACAAAACTTCCAGCATTAATAAACTTGTTAAACTTTTACACATTTATCTCTTCACTCATTGCAAGTGATGAAAGGGAATCTGATGTTCTTGTTATTTTGTTGGAGGTTGCACTCTAGAGCTGAAACAACTAATCGATTTAATCGATTATAATCGATTATTAAAATAGTTAACAACTTTTTTAGTCATCGATTAGTTGTTTAATAATCATATTTTACCGCATAAAGTCTATTTTTACCACAATCTGACATCGGTTACAAGCTGTTAAATTTGCCGCCAGTGTGTGGCAGTAATGAGCCACTGATCTACCAGTGGAGCCGTAGAAGAAGAAATGAGCCAATGAGTGCCCTCGGTTTTCATGACGTATCACGTTACTGACGCTCATCTTGCTGTGAGAGATGGCGGATCAACAAGAAATACGGAAGAAAAATAGAAGCGACAAAACTGACAAAATCCTCACGAGTATGGGAGCACTTTACTCTAGATGCCTTGAAAAGACGGGTGACCTGCAAAATATGCAAAAACCATCTAGCATGGCACGGAAGCACGACGTCCCTAAGTGAACATTTGAGACGAAAACATGTGGGGGCTGATGCAGCAGAGGAGGAGCACCGCGGTCAAGTGAGCCGTCATTTGGAAGAGCCAGCCCGGTAAGTAACAGAAAATAAACAAGCTGGACTTAGTGTTTTAGCTGAGTTCGTTATAGTGGATGTTAAACATGTTTTTTTGCCGCGTCAGTCTACGGTGTTCTACTTCTGATTGACTAGATGCCATCGTGAATCTCCTCCGTGTTGTGAATCATGCGCTTGCCAAATTCAGCACGTCTGTTTATAAGAATGTTCTCATTAAGAGAAAAACGGCACAAACCCATAACTATGTTCCTCATTCAAAAAAGG